CGTTCCTTCCCCGAGGACCTGCCCTTCGTCCTGGGCCAGAGTCTCCGATGGACAACGCGTGGACCGTCCAACCTTCAACGCTCGGCGGCCCCTCGACCGCCGGGCCGTCCCCTGTCGGCCAGTCCTGGGGCCACCGGCGCCGCTCGACCCGGAGCGCCCGCGCCGGGGGCGGAGCCACGGCGGCACGGCACGGGCCTGCGCTCGGGAGGCGTCGTCCGTGCCCGGGCCCGGGTCGGAGGCGGCCACGGGGGGTCTGAGCCGGATGGGCCCCGAGATGAGCGGCCCAAGGGAGGGGAGAGGGGCAAATGCCCTCAGCATTTGTCCCTGGACCCCCCCCCCCATGGGGTCTGTGTGATGTTTGACAGCCCTGGCGCCTGAAAGCGGCCCCCAGAGGCCCGAAACAGGAGAACACATGAGGTGTGCCGACAACTGTGCGGCAGCAACACTGCAAGAGACGGTGCACGGCGGATATCGATATCGTGCGAAGTGTGCGTGGCCCACTCGCAGAACAGAGGTAGAAAAGACCAGGAGGCATTGTACTGGGAAGGAGAAGCAAAAGGAAGACATCGGGGTGGAAGAACAACCTCCTCCCTCTCCTCTTGCTCATCGTCCCCTCCTCTCGTCCTCCTCCTCCGCCTCCTCCTCCTCCTGCTCCTTTTTCTCCTCCTCCTCCACCTCCTCCTCCTCCTCCACCCTCCTCCCCTCCTCCTCGCGCCTCCTCCTCCTCCTCCTCCTCCTCCTCCTCCTCCTCCTCCCCCACCCCTCCTCCTTCAGATCTGCGTGGGACCCACCACTGTGTTGCGCACCCCAGCAGCACTCAAAGCTACGACAGTTTCACACTTCGCAGCCCCCCCCCAGGGATGGCGAGGTCCTCAAGGTTTGCGTGGGGCCCCACTGTGCTGCCCCCCCCCACCAGACCTCAAAAGGGCTGCAGTTTCACATTCCGCAGCCCCCACCCCTCCAGGGATGGTGAGGTCCCCTGGCCCCTCAGCGGCCCTCGAAAGTGGCGACAGTTTCACCCTTCGCGGCCCCACAGGGATGGCGAGGTCCAGATTGGATCTGCGTGTGGCCCCACCGTGCTGGCTGCCCCCCAGCAGCCCTCGAAGGTGGCGACAGTTTCACACTTCGCAGCCCCCCAGGGATGGCAAGGTCCCAGTTGGGTCTGCGTGGGGCACCACTGCGCTGGCTCCCCCACAGCAGCCCTCGAAAGTGGCGACAGTCTTACATTTTGCGGTCCCCAAAAGGGATGCGAGAGGAGAGAGCCGAGAGAAGAGCGAGGGGGGGCGAGGAGGAGGAGAAGGGAGTTGGCACCCCACTGCTCCATTCAAAACCGGAACCCAACCAAGAACCGGCTGGGGAAAAAGACAAAAAACCCTTGCCGAACGCAGAACCTCGAGCCTTGCCCCTCCTCCGGACGCATCGCCCCTCACGCTGAGACGGCGCCAGGACAAGGATAAAATCGGGCGAGGACAACTCGAGGATCCCTGAGATCCTGCGGCTCTGGGTGTCGCGGGCGCCGCGGCCCTCTCGGAGCGTTCCGGAACCGCTTGGAACGCTCTGGAACGGGTTCGTCCTCCTCCTCCTCCTCCTCCTCCTCCTCCTCCTCCTCCTCCTCCTCCTCCTCCGTCCTGGCCCCGTTCGGCAAGCGCCTACTGATCGTTGGTAGAGGCCTCATGGCCCACCCCGCCCCCGTGCAGTTTCGCTGCCGGGGGCCCATCGCCGATCTGTCGACGACTACAGTGGGAGCTCGACCACAAGAGACCCTCCACGAGAAAGCCAACTCTGAGACCCCAGGACGTCCGCTGATTCTTGGTGCGGGAGCGCCACGCGTCCCATGGCACAGCCATCGAAACCCAAGGAAGCCAGGGCGCCCTGGAGGCAAGCGGGGCGGCTCATGGCATGGGCCTCCGCTGCAGAACCGCGCGCGCGCGCGTCGCGCGCGCTGGGGGCTCTGGCGCAAGAAGCCATGCCGCTGCGGTGGCGCGCAGGCGAGGCAGCCCTGGGCCTCCCCCGTGTCCTGCCCCCCGCCGCCCGTGCGGGGTTTCGTCCCGGCGGGCCGCCCGAGGCCCGGTGCAGTGCCCCGCGGGCAGGCCAGGCTGGAGGGCGGAAGGGCGAGGGGAGGGGCCGAGGGAGGGAGGGGCCGAGGAGGCGGAGACCGAGGATCGAGGGGGGAGCTCGGGACGGGCAGAGGCATACTGGTACTGCACGTTCTCCTCGGAGGCGCGCGTCCGGCCCGAACATGCAGCATGCCCATCTTGTAGTAGATCGTGTCCCTAGCGGTGCGGCCAGAGAGCACCCGCCACGACGCATATACCATGATATTTCTCGGTGCGCGCGTCGCCCCCGGCGGGGCGACGCACACATAGTATTAGTATGTTGGGGGGACGCCGAGAGCAGGGTGTTGAACGAAGTTCCGTGGAGGCGCTCGGGAAGCCTCTGGGACCCCATTGCGAGCAGTTTGGGGGGGTCTCTGGGGGCCTTCGGGAAGTTCTTCGAGCGTATGGAATGTGGGGGCGTCGTGGGGGCCTGGTGAAGGTCGACTGATGGTCCCGACCCCTAGGGGGGCCCTCTGGGGGCCCTCTTTGTGCTTCTTAGACCGTCTTGGCGGGCCTCGTGGGCCGTCTCGGGGTCCTCTTGAGCAGTCGTGGGGCCGTCTTGTCCTAGGAGCCAACGCTGGGGCAGCCGTGACGCCCCAGATTGGCTCGAGCGTGTCGGCATAGCCTGGGGCGACCTGGGCGTCAGCGTCAACTTTCTCCTCCTTGGACTGCTGATCCTACTCCTTGCCGAGAAGGTGCACTTGTAAAGGGGAAGCGGTAGAGCAGGGTCTCAGAAGTATTCGAAGTGATCCTGGATGGGCATCCCAAAAGGAACTGAAACAATTGATTGTACGAGCTAGTGCCGAGGCAACCATGACCCATCAGATTAGCTCGAGCGTGCCAATTGCGGACCGGGGTCGAACTCCGAGATGCCTCTCAAGGGCGTCTTAGAGGGAGTCTTGAAGCTTCTTGAAGTATCTTGAGGGCCTCTCGGGGCCTGTTGTGGGCCTCTTGCGGGTCTCTTGCGGGCCTCGTGCGGTTCTTTGGGGACACTGTTGGCGGTCTGGGAGACCATCTTGGGGCGGATGGCTTGAGAGATCAGTCCGTGTTCCCCCTCTTGGGGCCTTGGTGGGCCATATTGGTGGCCTCGTGAGCCCGTCTGGGCCCCAAGAAGGGTCTCCTGGGCCGCCTTGGGGGCCCGAGGAGCCGCCTTGTTGGGCGGAGCGAAGACCGAAGCAGCGAATGTGTTGAACATGCGCACTTCCCAGAACATGTGGCGAGCGTTGCCTCTCGGGGGACCTCTCGGCGTGCATACCCTCTCTGTTCGCACGGTCGGATGTCGCAGCATGGCATAGCCTTACATGGCACAGCAGGGCGGTGAAGATCGACGCGCAGCATGGCATAGCATCGCGTGGCGGCGGGCTTCTGCGGCCCAACAAATCGACGAATCGACACCGAATGTGGAATCACTTCCGATGGTTTTTTCGGGAGTGGGGGGGGGGCAGTTTCTAGATTTGGGGACCTATCTGGAAGCACCGAAAACCATGCCGTGACATGGCACTGGAAATAATGACGCCAGCGCTGCAGCGGGAGCACGATTAGGAACGAGCGGAAGCGCGGAAATGAGGCCAGCGCTGCAGCGGGAGCACGATTCGGAACGAGCGGAAGCGCGGAAACGATGCCAACGCTGCAGCGAGAGCACGATTCGGAATTAGCGGAAGCCCGAAAATGAAGCCAGCGCTTCAGTGGGAGCAACTTGGAAAAAAACAGCGAAAACCCAGCTCCCGGGAATCGTGTAAAAAACAATACGCGACTGGGGGCCGGACCCCTCCCGGACGACATCAGGGGAGAGAGGAGAACAGGATCCATAGTGTAAATGTACAGGTGGTCAGAAATGTATCGCCGATCCCATGTCCACGCATCCCCCCCTTTAACCCCTCCATCGCTGCCCATGATGCCCCCTCACGGCTCGCCCTGCCAGCGCCTCGAGCTCCGCCTTGGCGGCGTCGCGCGCCCGCTCCGCCAGCTGCGACTCCTCGGCGGCGGCGAGGGCGCTGGCCTCGCACATCCGTCGGGCAGGGGATGGGAGGGGGAAGGGAGGGGAGGAAGATGATGAGGACTGCGATTCTGGCCTGCCAGGCAGAAGGGTGGCCCCAAACACAGAACCTAAGGAAGGGTGCGTCCGTGACCTCTCCGCCCGTCCTCCCCCCTGGGGCCCTCCCACACCCCACGCCCGCCCGAAAGCGGTGGCGAAATCGCGCAGCGGCGCAGTTAGAGGAAAAGAAAGCCACATTCCAACCTAGATTGACTACCTACCAGACCACCCCAACCTAACCCGAAGACCAGAATTTCGGGCTGGAGGGGGGGGGTACGGGTTCCACACGTGTTGTTCAATGCTCCCCGACCATCCCACTGGAAATGGAAGGCAAATCGGGGCTTTCGGGTTGCGTTGGGGTGGTTTGGTGGGCGCCTCTCTCTGCACCACTCGTGCTGCTCGTGCTTAACTCTCCGCATCCTCCTCCTCCTCCTCCTCCTCCTCCTCCTCGTCCTCGTCCTCCTCCTCCTCCTTTTCCTCCTCCTCCTCCTCCGCCTCCTCTCCTCCTCCTCCTCCTCCTCCTCCTCCGCCTCCGCCTCCGCCTCCACCTCCGCCTCCTCCTCCTCCGCCTCCGCCTCCGCTCCGCCTCCTCCTCCTCCTCCTCCTCCTCCTCCTCCTCCTCCTCCTCCTCCTCCTCCTCCTCTTTATCCTCCAGGAACTCCTGTTTGAGCGGGGACCCCGCTCCGACAACACGCCCCTAGACCCCCGTCCAGAATTCCAAGACAAGACAATACTTACGTTGCTCCCATCGCACTGGAGGGCCACATCCCAGAAAAAAATTCGAGCGCCCAGGAAAGTATTGAAACAGTGTCGAACGAGTATCGCCTCCCAGTGCCCGACACATGAAGATCCATCAGTTCCGGTACTTTCTTGGTGATCGAAGCTCTGTCTGATGATCAAGGCTAAAGTAGGTTGGAACATCATAGACAAGACAAGACAAAACAAGAGCCCGCGCCAAGGAACCTACGAGGGTGCGGCGGCTGGGCGCCTGGGCGCCGGTAGGGGCTGGCCGCTCAGAAGCAGCTGGGGTCGGGGAATGGCAGCCGGAGTCGGAGAGACGAGAACGGGTGCCGGAGCCGCAGTCAGACAGGAATGAACCGGAGTTGAACACGGCCTTCCGCTCAACGGGTGGATTCACTCTCTTCGTCTGCTCGACGTTGGGAGGATCAGACTGAGAAGTCTGGGGGTCGCAAGGATGCGCGTGCTAGATGTCAGTTCGTGAGGGGAGCAAGTGGGATGGGGAGAGGAGGGGGAGAGAGAGAGAGAGATGCAAAAGGCAAGACAGTTGCGATGTTGCTATATAGTTTAGTATGGTTCTTCATACCAGCATGCGAAATATGATTATTAGAAGCAGAAGTAGCAGTAGTTGTAGTTGTAATTGTGGTTGTAGTTGTAGTTGTTGTTATAGTAGTAGTCGTAGTAATAGTAGTAGTAGTAGTAGTAGTAGTAGTAGTCGTCGTCGTAACAGTAGTAGTAGTAGTAGTAGTAGTAGTAGTAGTAGTAGTAGTAGTACTAGTAGTAGTAAGAGTCGTAGTCGTAGTCGTAGTCGTAGTCGTAGTAGTAGTAGTAGTAGTAGTAGTAGTAGTAGTAGTAGCAGAAGGAGTAGTAGTCGTAGAAGTCATAGTAGAAAAAAATGTCGTAGTAGTAGTAGTAGTAGTAAGTAGAGTAGAAGTAGTAATAGTAGTAGTAGTAGTCGTAATAGTCGTAGAAATAGTAGTAGTAGTAGTAGTAGTAGTAAAAATAGTAGTAGTAGAAGTAGTAGTAGTAGTAGTCGCAGTAGTCGTAGTAGTCGTAGTAGTCGTAGTAGTCGTAGTAGTCGTAGTACTAGTAGTAGTAGTAGTAGTAGTAGTAGCAGCAGTAACAGTAGTAGTAGCAGTAGTAGAAGTAGTAGTAATAGTCGTAGTATTAGTAGTAGTAGTAGTAGTAGAAGTAGTCGTAGTAGTAGTAGTAGTAGTAGTAGTAGTCGTCGTCGTCGTCGTCGCCGCCGTCGTCGTCGTCGTCGTCGTCGTCGTCGTCGTCGTCGTCGTCGTCGTCGTCGTCGTCGTCGTCGTCGTCGTCGTCGTCGTCGTCGTCGTCGTCGTCGTCGTCGTAGTAGTAGTAGTAGGAGTAGGAGTAGGAGTAGTAGTAGTAGTAGTAGCAGTAGTAGTATCAGTTGTAGTAGTAGTAGTAGCACTAGTAGTAGCAGTAGTAGTAGTAGAAATCGTAGAAGTAGTGGTAGTAGTGGTAGTAGTGGTAGTAGTAGTAGTAGTAGCAGCAGTAGCAGTAGTAGTAGTAATAGTAGTAGGAGTAGTAGTAGTAGTAGTAGTAGTACTAGTAGTACTACTACTACTACTAATACTACTACTACTACTACTACTACTACTACTACTACTACTAGTAGTAGTAGTAGTAGTAGTAGTAGTAGTAGTAGTAGTAGTAGTGCGATTATTAGAATTACCATTTATGTGTGTTTTAGCTGCGCTTTCGCCATATACGACATCCGACCCTTCCCACCCATCCGTTCCAGTTGCGTTGTTGCCTGCATCCGCCGACGCATGTCATGGTGGACCTGGAGCTCCAACGAGGACCCCCAGGGTGTAGTCGGAAAAAGAAGGAGCTGCGCAGTGGAGGAAGAGCTCGCGGATGGGCAAGAGAATGAGCAAGAGGAGAAGATGGAGGAGGAGGAGGAAAAGGAGGAGGTAAAAGAAGGAACGAGGAGGACGAGGATGAACAACAGCAGGAGCCGCAGCCGAAGGGGCGGGAAACGCAGGAGGACCATGGGAAGGCGGAGGAAGGGAAATGAGGGGGCAGGGCAGCCTGAACGACGGGAGCCAAACGCTGTTCCGGCAAGAAATTCCACGCTAGAGCGGGAGCACGATGTTCGAACACCGAACACAATCGGATTGCACAACAACATACAAAACAAAACAACGATTGAGATCCTGCGCGTAAGAAATACTACGCTGAAAGGGTCGAAAATGTTCCGGACAAAATCGGAGGAAACGCGGATCGAATGGTGTCCATAGCCAGTCAAAACTTACGAGGGAGCCACGAGGTTAAAGAGCGGCTACCCCAGCCACGGGGAGTAACTCCGCTTAGGGGAATACGCGTTCGAGTGTGACACCCAGCCTCGAGATTATTCAAGGCCGTGGTAGGGAGAGGGCTTATCTTCCAGTTGACTGGGCCATGGCAGGCTTCCACGAACACAGGAGTGGCGGATGCTGACCCACCACGGTTCAGAAATTAACCAACGGGCCTGTGGTGACCAGGTGGTGGCCTCGCACAAGCTCATCGGAAGCCTCATAGGGGTGATAGTGGGCCCCTGACGTGGCTGATGAGCACTCAGCAGACTAGACACAGAACCGCCAGCACACGCAGCCAGATGGGGTTGCCACACCTTGCGATGTCGGCAAAAGGGCGCCGGAGCCAGGCGCCCTCGCCGCGCCCGCAGACGCTCCACACTGGCCGCTGGTGTGGATGGGGCCCCCAGCGGCCTCCCCAGACCCCACAGGCGACACGCTGGGGGCCCAGGGTCTTGCGCCTTCAGGATGGCCAGCCTTGGGTCCCAAGCAGCGGTCGGTAGCTCGAAGAGCGATGGCGGTAGCCTCAGAGGACAAGGAAGGCGGGGAAGCACTCGCAGAGATGGAGGAAGAGGAGGAGGAGGAGGAGGAGGAGGAGGAGGAGGAGGAGGAGGAGGAGGAGGAGGAGGAGAGATGCCTCTGCCAGGCACGGGCCATGAGGCGCTGGAGCGCAGTTTCCTCGCAGGACGAGCGCGACCTCACCAGCGGCACGAGCGGTGCGCATCGCGCACATCCAGCAGGTCCCCTCCCCGGAGATCTCGTGCCCGAGACTGGGCACCCGCGCTCGCGTGCCCGGTGCCGCTGGCTCCCGTCGCACGGCCGCGTGCCGGGCTGGGTCTTCTGTTGGGCCGAGGAAGGAGAGCAGGAGCGAGGCAGAGAGAGAGGGGGGCGACGACGACGACGACGACGACGACGACGACGACGACGACGACGACGACGACGACAGCAGCTTCGGCGGCGGCGGCGGCGACGACGAAGGCGGCGGTGACGGCAACAGCGGCGGCGGCGGCGACGACGACTGCGGCGGCGGCGGCAGCGGCGGCAGCGACGACGACGAAGCAAGAGAGAGGGAGAGCGAGAGAGCGAGAGGGGCAGGAAGTGGGAGAGAGAGAGAGAGAGACGCGAAGGGGGACCTGGGCGCGTCGGGCGGAGCGCGCGAAGGGCAGGACGAGGGAAGGCGCCGCGTGGACCGCCTTGGAGGTCTCCGCCTCTCTCCTGGCCCCCTCCAACTCCTCCTTGGCCTTCTCCAGCTTGGCCTTGGCGGCCAGGAGCATATCCTTCCCAGAAGCCTGCGGGCAGCGAGCACTGTGACGGAGGTGTTCAGGGGGACTGCAAATCGACGAATAAGGAATGGGCAGCCAACGCTTGTTCGGAACGACGTTCGCGTCAAGGTTTGGGTGTGGAGACGGTGACTGGGTTATTGGGTACTGTGCTGGGGCCGGCCTGGGCGCAGGGCGAAGGCGAGGGAGGGAAGAGAAGGAGGAGGAGAAAGAGGAGGAGGCGGAAAAAGAAGGAAGGAGGTCGAAGAAAGAAGGGAGAAGGAAAGGCGGAGAAAAGGATGGAGGAGCATCGAGGACACGGGGGCGAAAGCTTGTAAGGGGAATGGCCGAGAAGGGCTGCAGCCTTTGCCGAGGATTGGGCCTCGCCACAGGGCGGGCGGTCGAAGAGTCTCAGGGACTCTTGGGGTGCAGTCTTAAGTCCGGCCTGTCCCTCTACAGGAGGAATGCTCAAAGGTAGTGAAAAAAAACCAGTCTGGGGACGACTTGTTTGACTATGTTTGGCTATTTGGGTGTATAGTTTGGCAATTGCATAGTTTTCGTCTCAAATCCCCCTGTATGGGGACATGCCCGACCTAGGTGCAGCCCGCAACTGCGACGAGCCCGAGGGCCAAGCACTTCTGGCTGCGCACTGGGGGGAGGCGACGGGGAGGCACTATCTTCATCATGCTCATCATCATCAGCATCATCATCATCATCATCATCATCATCATCATCATCAGCATCATCAGCATCATCATCATCAGCATCGTCATCGTCATCGTCATCATAATTATGATCATCATCATCAGCATCAGCATCAGCATAAGCAGCATCAGCATCAGCACCAGCATCTGCATCAGCATCAGCATCAGCAGCATCAGCATCAGCAGAATCGGAATCAGCATCAGCATCATCACCATCACCAGCACCATCACCATCACCATCATCATCATCATCATCATCATCATCATCATCATCATCATCATCATCATCATCATCATCATCATCAGCATCAGCATCAGCATCAGCATCAGCATCATCAGCAGCAGCAGCAGCATCAGCATCAGCATCAGCACGGGGGGGCGACGGGGAGGGTCGCACGCAGTAGCAGGACCTCACTCGCGAGACATGCAGCGTGGAACTGGTCCGCTGCAGGTGCGCTCCTCGCACGCGGAGTGGGGGCAACGAGGGGGCTCCTCTGGCCACGGCGAGCCTCGGCCCCCGCAGAAGCTCCCCGGCCCAGACCTGCGGAGCGGCACGAGGACCAGAGCCCCCTCCCGAGCCCCGAGTGGTGCTGATTTCAGCGTCTTGACTGTGGGGGCACGTGTGTCGTTGATCCCTGGACTTCCCAGGGTGCCCCTGAGCTTCTGTGGGTGCCTGGGGCCATGGTGGGATGAGAAAGTTCAGCAGGACACCTGATGGCAGGATGGTTGGTTATCCGGAGCCAATGGTGTCCAACGACGTCTGGCAATGAGGCTGCACGGCGCCGCACGGGACCAAGATGTGGGGAGGCTCGCGCGGCTATAAATTCGCGCAGGGCCTTCTTGCCGTTCGGCAACTCGCGAGACTTGCCGTTCAGCTTCTTCCCCGACTCCGCGGAGGCGTCCGACGCCTGTGGGCAGAACCGGCCGCCCCGAGATGCGCCTTGACCCTCTGAGGGTTGCAGAAGGTGTCAAAGTGACGAGGGGGATGTGTTCATACATCGATATCTGGGATGAATCACACATCAAGAAGTGATGGCGCGTGAGAGTTCAACGAGAGAGAAATCAGCCGTGGACCCCTCGAAACGATCCCGTCTCGTGGGGGCACGACCCTCTAGACTCTAGATCGTGTGGCGCAAATGCGTCAGGCTCAGAGCAACATCAGTGGTGGGCAGGGCGAGCCGCGGCGAAAGGGGGAGGAGGAGACGCAAAAACGCTGGCGCACTACATCGTGTTGACAGGATGGCGCAACATGCCAAAAAAGTCGGGCACGGAGAAAGGCTTGGGGGTCTCGAAACGGTGCGGTGACACACACCGTGCGGTGACCTCGAACTCCCGGAGGACCTCACCGCACGTTCCATCACCACACGGTCTTGGGACCCTGGAGGCCCACACCGCCCGAGACAAGTCCTCGAAGAACGACCACAGTCCCCAAACCTGTGAGGTCACCCCGAATCCCCACCGACTCACCAAAACGGCATGGCCACCGCACCGCTCGGGGGCCCCCGAGAAGAGACGGAGAGGGCGGGCGAGGAGAGAGGGCCAAGAGCTGCTGAAGCCGCTGCTGCCGAAGTGCGCCATGCGTGCCCCCAGGAAGGGGCCCACTCGTGGCTGCGTGCGCAGGCTGGCAGCGCCTGCCACGGCGGCGGCCCCTGCCACGTGTCTGACGCGACTGCCGTCGTCGCTTCCAAAGGGGCGGCCTCGCCCTCCGGCGCGCGCAGCTCCCGCAAGATATACCCCCTCCCAGCTTGACAGGCGGGGCGATTTCTCTGGCCTCATGACGGACCAGGGCCGCCCCGTGACGGCTGCAGCACGTTTCAAAGGGCAGCCCAGGACAGGGCAGCGAACCGCCCCAGGGCTTCACGATGCCCCCAGTAGGTCCCAAGAGGTCTCAAGGAGCGGATCCCTCAAGAGGCTTCCAAGGAGGCGTCCAGTGAGGTCCTGAGCATGTTGTGCTGAAAGGACACCACAAGGTGGCACTTGATGTCTAAAACTAGCTTCTGTTTCCCCTTCCCCCAAGCCTATTTCGATATGGCCGAAAAACATATCCTGAACCACCCCCAACGTGCACCGGCCCTGGAGTCAGACAAACAGATCCGGGACCAAGATGAAAATCAATGTAAACAGCACGCCGCGCTTGAACACCTAGTGCAAGTTGGCCCGAACTTCGAACCGAAGTTCGGAATTTCAGAAGTTGACACTCGACGGCCATCTAAAGGAACAAAGAACTGCTCAAACTTAAATGATCGGTGGCCTGCGCGGAGTTCTTGGATCGACGCTAGACTCCCCCCCGGGCGCGCGGAGCGCGCCAGGAGCGGCGGCAGGGGCGGCGGCAGTGGCAGCGCCAGGGGCGCGACAGGGGGCCCCAGCGCCGCTTTAAGAAATCCGCGCAGAACTAGGCGGGCGCTCAACCATAGATGCTCGTATGGCAGTGACTATGTACACAGGCGTATGTATGTGCATGTGCATGTGCACATGCACATGCATACGTATTTGTGTATACATATGTATACGTAGGTGCCTATGTATATGTATGTGTATGTGTATATGTGGGTGTGTGTATGTGTATGTGGTTGTGTACGTGTATGTGTATGTGTGTATGCATGTGTATATGTATATGTGCATGTATATATGTGTACGTGTATGTGTATGTGTACGTATATGCGTATGTATAGGTATAGGTATATGTATATGTTTATGTGCATGTGAATGTAGATGTATGGGTGTAGATGTATGTGTGCATGTCTTTGTATACTGCATATGCATGTATCGATAGGTGTGTGCACGTGTGTGCGTGCCCATGTGGATATGTATGCATACAGCAGTGTATATGTATGTGCGTACTGATGACTGTAAAGATGTAGATATGTATATATGTGTGTGCCCTTCCCCCCTGGGGCCCGAAGATATCCAGGTCCACCGCCTGCCGAGGTCCCCCAAGATCAATCACCCCAGGCGGTGGTCAAGGATGCCCCCACGCCTCGAACATAACATTTCCTCACTGAAACTATACCCGTCGTTCGGAAGAAGAGGGTGGAAGCATGAAGTGGAAAGGCGCTGAGAACAGATTGGGTTTCCCCGCCCACCCTCCTGAACAAGGGCAGAGTGGAAGCCGCTCGGCTCCTGAGAGAAGAAGGCGCAGTAGAGCAGATTGGAACCGGGGGATCCGAAAAATACCCACCTTCAACGAACGATAGGCCGTCTGGATCTCACAGTGATGGGGGGATTTTTGCTTGGGGGGGGAGGTCTGGCGGGCCTCGACAAAAAAACTTGTGTGGGGGGGGGTCGATGTTGGACCCTCTGTCGTCTCTCTGGGGGGGGGATTTGGATTCGGTTGCACCGCTCTTGGGGGGGTGTCCCAGACGCGCCGTCAAACATCTGTTTTGTCCTTCCCCCCCCACTCGGCAACAAGAAGGAGTGGCCCTAGGCAAGAGTGACTTTTGGTGCGCGACTTTCGGGGGCCGCGGGGAGGCCGAACTGCAGCGCGCAAGCCGCTGCTATGGCGTCAAATTCAGCCATCTGGGGACCCCAAAGGGTCCGCGCCAAAGATCACTCGGGCGACATGTCACTCTCACGTATAGCCGACCCACCGCTGTCGTGAGATTTGACATGTGTTCCCGGCGCTGGAGCGGAAGCCGCCTCGGCCTCCTCCTCCTCCTCCTCGTCGGCGGCCTCGTCCTGCCGCCACAGCCGACGCCAAGCACGCGCGCGGAGCGACCAGCTTCCTCCTCCTTCTCCTCCTTCTCCCCCTCCGCCTCCAATATCCTCCTCCTCCCCCTCCACAGCCCCCTGCTGCTCCGCCTCCTGCTCCGCCTTCTGCTCCTCCTGCCCCTTTCCTCCTCCTCCTCCTCCTCCTCATCCTCATCATCTTCGTCCTCCTCCTCCTCCTCCTCCTCCAAATCCTCCTCCTTCTCCTCCTCTTCCTCCTCCTCTCTCCTCCTCTTCCTCCTCTTGCTACTCCTGGTATATACATCCTACTCCTCCTCCTCCTCCTCCTCTTCCTCCTCCTCCTCCTCCTCTTCCTCCTCTTTCTCGTCCTTGTCCCCATCCTCCGCCAAATCCTCCTCCTCCTCATCGTCGTCCCCCTCCTCCTCCTCCTCCTCCACAAACTCCTCCTCTTCCTCCTCCTCCTCTTCCTCATCGTCCTCCAATTTCTCCTCCTTCTCCTTCTCCTTCTCTTCCTCCTCCTCCTCCTCCTCCTCCTCTTTTCTCTCCTCCTCCTGGTCCTCTCATCCTCCTCCTCCTCTCCTCCTCCTCTCCTCCTCCTCCTCCTCCTCCTCCTCCTCCTCCTCCTCATCATCATCATCATCATCATCATCCTCATCCTCATCTCATCCTCATCCTCATCATCATCATCATCATCATCATCATCATCATCATCATCATCATCAGCAACATTATCATCATCATCATCATCCTCATCATCAGCAGCAGCAGCAGCCGCATGATCATCATCAGCATCATCATCATCATCATCAGCAGCAGCAGCAGCAGCATCGTCATCATCATCGTCATCATCATCAGCAGCATCATCATCATCATCAGCAGCATCATCATCATCATCAGCATCATCATCATCATGATCATCATCATCATCATCATCAGCATCATCATCATCGTCATCTTCATCACCATCACCACCACCACCATCATCATCATCATCATCAACAGCAGCATCATCATCATAACCATAATCATCATCATCAGCATCATCAGCATCATCAGCATCAACATCAGCATCATCATCATCATCATCACCATCATCATCATCAGCATCAGCATCATCGTCATAATCATCAGCATCTTCATCATCGTCACCATCATCATCATCATCAGCAGCATCAGCAGCGGCATCATCATCAGCAGCATGACCAACATCATCATGATCATCGTCAGCAGCATCAGCAGCATCATCATCACAATCATCATCATCATCATCAGCAGCATCAGCAGCATCATCATCATCAGCATCATCATCATTATCATCAAAACCATTAGCATAATCAGCATCAGCAGTAGCATTATCAGCATCAGCATCAGCATCATCATCATCATCAGTATCATCAGCATCATCATTAGCAGCAGCATCAGCAGCATCAGCATTAGAATCATTATAAGCACCATCATCAGAGTTAGGGGGCTGAACGGTTATTCATTGTCCCAAGGCGTGGCTGAATAGGGAATTCGTGGTGAGAATGTTCTTGTTGCGTTGTTGTTGTTGTTGTCGTTGAAGTTCGTGTTGGTGTAGTTGGTGTTGGTGTTATTGTTGTTGCTGTTGTTGTTGGTAGTGTTGTTGTTGTTGTTGTTGTTGGTGTTGTTGGTGTTGTGTTTGCGTTTGCTAAACAGCTTCGCTTACCGGGGTGATTATCATGGGGTGGATTTTCTGCCCTCTACATCCGCGACCCACCCGCGACCCAACAACGACCCACCCGAGACCCACCCGCGACCCACCCGCGACCCGTTTGCGACCCACCCGCGACCTTCCCACATTGATTTCACCAGAAAATCGGCGCCTGCGGCGGGCTCGTTGAATAATTTGTGAAACTGTGGCGCCTGCGGCGAGCTTCGCCAGAGTATCGCAAACTGCTGACGTCCCCACCGCCCCCTCACTCTTATCCGCATCTGCGGGGTGCTACGGTCAGCAGCAGCAGCAGCAGCAGCAGCATCATCATCATCATCAGCATCAGCATCAGCATCATCATCATCATCATCCTCATCATCATCAGCATCATCATCATCATCATCATCATCAGTATCATCATCATCATCATCATCAGAAGCATCATCAGCAGCAGCATCATAATCATCATCAACAACAGCAGCGCATCATCATCATCATCATCATCATCATCATCATCATCATCATCATCATAATCATCACCACAATGATCATCATCACCACCACCACCATCATCATCATCAGCATCAGAAGCAGCCGCGGCATCAGCATCATCATCAGACGCCATAGTATCAGCAGCATCAGCATCAGCGTCATCATCAGCAGCATCAGCATCGTCAGCATCATCATCATCATCATCATCATCATCATCATCATCATCATCAGCATCACCATCATCATCATCATCGTCGTCATCATCAGCATCAGCAGCATCACCATCATAATCATCATCACCATCACCATCAGCAGCATAAACAGCATCAGCATCAGCGTCAGCATCATCATCCGCAGCAGCATCATCCTCGTACATTACCATCATGAGTCGCATCAGCATTAGCAGTATTAGCAGTATTAGCAGCATCGTCAGCATCAACACCATCATCATCATCATTATCATAACCAACAGCAACAGTACGATCATCAGCATGATCAGAATCGTCATCAGTATCGTCATCATCATCAGCCATCATCGCCATCAGCAACATCATCGACAACAGCTTCAGCATCAGCATCAGCAACAGCATCATCATCATCATCAGCATCCGAATCATCATCATCAACATCATCATCATCATCAACATCATCATCATATTCGTCAATATCATCATCATCCTCGTCGTCTTCCTCCTCATCCTCCTCCTGTTCCGCTTCCTCCTCCGCCAGTCCGTAGCCATTGTGGCTCATGGTACAAAACGGGCGAGCACGTTCACACAATCATGTGTCGTCACCTTCTTATCTTACCTTATCCTCCTCCTCCTCCTCCTCCTCCTCCTCCTCCTCCCTCCTCCTCCTCCTCCTCCTCCTCCTCCTCCTCCTCCTCCTCCTCCTCCTCCTCCTCCTCCTCCTCCTCCTCCTCCTCCTCCTCCTCATCGGCCCTGAACGCCAAGGAGGGTTCATGATAAAAAAGAGCCAGGGATCTTCGAGCCTTGATCATGGTCGAGGTTACTGCGAGACTATCCAGACAGGGCCTTTATGAGTCCGTAGGCCCCCTCCCAAGCACTCCGAACTCCACAGGGCGGGGAGGGGACGAGGGGACGAGGGGACGGGAGACCCAGGGGGCCCCCTGCCCCCATCTCCCCTCCCTCCCCCTCTGCTCCCCCCTCCCCCCATGCTCCCTCCTCCCTCCCACGTCGCCCCCTCCCCCCTCCCCCCATCCCCCCCGCCGTGGCCGCCCCTGCGCCGCCCCGTCCTGCTTGTCGCCCGCCTCGTCCTCGGAGGAGTCCGACGGCGGTGCCTGGGCAGGAGGAAGAAGAAACGAAGCCCCCTTTTTTTCGGAGCTAATCTACGAAGTCCGAAGGAGCGGCCGAGCCCCTTCTCTAGCGCCGAAGAGGCAGCGGGACGCATGCAGACCTGAGGAACGACCGAGCCCCTTTTGAAAAGCAAGTGCTCCTTATTCAAGCTGCTCACTGCAGATGGGCTCGGAGGATCGCGCCGCATCGCCCATACGTCGGTGATGCATCGGCGATGCATCGGCGATGCATCGGCGATGCACCGGCGACGCCAGCGTAGAGAAAATCGGGCTCCGCATCGAGCCGCATCGCCGATCCACGGTGCGGCGCGATCCTCCGACCCCATCGACGCAGACCCCATCTAGAAGGAGGCCCAGAAGATCGGGCCACCGAGGAGACCCTGAACCGCTCGCGTCGTGACCAAAGATCGCGACGGCGGGTGCTGCTCTGCAGTGCATCGTTTCACGAACGGCACGGCGAGAAAGCACCCACCACGGAGCATCTACAATAAGACTTCTCTAGAGGCCTCCTGGATGGGGTTCGAATAGATGGGGTCGGAGGATCGCGCCACGTCAGCGATGCATCGGCGATACATCACCAATGCATCGGCGATGCATCGGCGACGCCTGCGAGACATCGGCGCCATCGGCGTGGAGAAAATCGGGCTCCACATCGAGCCGCATCGCCGATGCATCGCCGATGCGGCGCGATCCTCCGACCCCATCTACTCGGACCCCATCTAGGAGGCCTTGATTCTCGGCGCGCTCCTCGCCCCTTCGTGGGGGCGCTGCACACACTATGTTGGCGTGTGTGTTGGGCGGCGCCGACCCCACGCCTGCATCCATCGGGTGTCTGCTTTGGACGCCCGAAATGGGTAAGGAAAAAATGGTTACAATGCCCGTCAACAAATGTTGTCCCAAACCAACAGCGGCCGATGTTGGGCAGGCGGCATTCTGTCTCAAATGGACACAGGCCGCGGCGGCGCGGACAGCGAGTCCTGTTCAGAATGAACAGGAACTGCTGTTGAGCATTGTACCCATTCTTTCCGTGCCCATTTCGTTCGTGCAGATCTGCTCGGGAGGGGGACGGATTCCCGCTGCCCCCTCCCCCCCGGGCCAAGCTCCTCCCCCAGGGGAGGGGGCCGCCGCGGGCTGGCGCGAAGGGGCACCGAAGGTTCGGTCGGCCAGGAGTCCTCGGCGCGAAGCGCTGGAGCAGGAGGGCCCAGCATCCAGGCGAGAAGTCGCATCGGCGATGGAGAAGACTCGCAAGCAGGCGAGCAAAATGCTGAGCACGAGACGCATATGAGCACGCGGCCATCATCACGCAGTATCGCAATACTTCCTGACTGCGACCCGCCACGCCGTGGCCGAAGAAACTGGTGTCCTACCACAGCGCCGGAAAGGCCTCCATTTGAGCAGGGACAGACCGTCCCGGCATTTCTATATGCCTACCACAAGGTGTTCTTAGAACCAACAAATGTCCTAAAACAAACAACTCTTAGAACATAAGCCCGAGGCATTAAACCAAATCAGTCTCAGCCAGAAATGTTATCATAACAGTTCGTGCAGAGCACAAAAGGTTATTAGAACATCCTTTGGTGGGCCTGCAGGTGAGCCAGGACGCTTCGCCACTGCTTGATCCATGTCCCCAGCTGCTCCGCAGGCGTGCCTGTAAACTTCCCAGGGCCACGTTGAATCGGAGCGGCGGAAATCGGCAGCCAGGTCGGGAGCTGTCGAATCGGCGGACCCCGGCAGGCCTGAGGCCTCCGCTGAGGGAGCAGAATCCCCATCGGAGTCCGAAGCCGAACGGGATCGGAGTCGGGAGCGATCGAAATCGAGTCGAGTCGAGTCGGGGGAGTCGAAATGAAACCCTGCTGGAGTGCTCGTGAGGGCTGCGACGGAGCGGGGGGGGGGGGGCGAGGCCGTCGCGTCCGGGCCGCTCTGTCCGAGAGCGCCCGCGTGGCCGCCGAGATCTGGGTGTCAGCGGCCCCCTTCGGACAGGGGGGCCCCAGGAGGCAACCGCGCTCGACGCTGGCGCGTCGGAGGGAAGCGTCTGCAGCAGACCTGTGACCGGGGGCGCGCTTGAGCATGGTGATGGGCCTGCTGTCCACCACCACCACCACCACCATAAGTTGGCGGGGGAGAGGGTCCTCCTCCTCCTCCTCCTCCTCCTCCACCTCCTCCTCCTCCTCCTCCTCCTCCTCCTCCTCCTCCTCCTCCGCTTCGTTCTCCCTCTCCTCCACCTCCTTCCCCCCTTCCCCTCTCTTCCACCTCCTTCCCCCCATTTTCCACCACCTGAGCATGCTGATGGGCCTGTTGTCCACCATCACCACCACCACCGTAATTTGGAGGTGGAGGGGGGAAGGAGGTGGAGGAGAGGGAGGACGAAGCGGAGGAGGAGGAGGAGGAGGAGGAGCAGGAGCAGGAGGAGCAGGAGGAGGAGGAGGAGGAGGAGGAGGAGGAGGGGACTCTCCCCTCCAACGTATGGTGGTGGTGGTGGTGGAAAACAGGCCCATCACATGCGGCTCTGCCGTGGATGCTCTCCTCCGAAGGGAAAGCCGATCGAATGGAGCAACGGATTCTACACTGATGCAGACCCCCGTGACAGACAGCCACCGAGAAGGAAACGCCACGCTGTACCCACTGGTGGACGGATGCCGGATATTAGCACAGCAGCACGAAGCACTTCGCCACACGCAGGAACGATCCCAGGATCCCGAACGGCTTCGTTTTTTGGTTGGCATACACCTGCCACTATCCTCAAATGCCCAGGAAGTACAGAAGTGGCCATAATAACATCAGAGCGGTACCAGAGCGACCAGAATCGCAGCAGTCAAGGCGGCACATCGAACAACATTCGCAGCAGAGACGTCCAAGCCAGCATGGTCAACGCTGGCGATCCTGCAGGGCGTCGCGCGCTTCGCCCCGCGCCATCTAACGAACCGAATCGTGCCTGGCAAACAGCTGGTCTGGTTGAAACAGTACGACGAAAGAATTGAACACATGATAATGGTATGGTTGGCTGCCTTGGCCGCCTCCTTCCCAGAATCGTCCGAGTCGGAGGAGTCAGCCTTTTTCACCTTCTTGTCGTTCTTGCCTTTTTTAGCCTCGGCGGGAAGCACGTACCCTGCAAAATGATGTGAACCTAAACAAAGATACACTAAACAAAGCAAGGGCCAACCTCCGAACACCGGCCACCCTTCAGAACGACGGTGCGGCGGCAAGTCAGGCTGAGGAGGAACGATGGGGGGAGAAACATCGACCTGGAATCAGCGGTCTGTCGCCTATGGATCGCCTATGGATCGCCGCACGGTGCTGAGCGGGGTGCGGGGTGGGCTACCAAGGCCCTATCGGCGATGAATGGTCCATCGGGGGTCGATGCATCCCCCCCTGAGCACACTGCTCCCCCCTCGCGCTGCCCTTCCCCGTACCTTCCGCTCTCTGGCTTGGGCCCTCGGCGGCCGCTCGGGGCGGTTCCGTAGCCCCTGGAACGCCCTCGACAGCGCGCAGCTGATGGAAACTGCCCCAGGCCTCGAACACTCGGAGGCTGGGCGGGGGCTGGCAAATCCGTGGCTGCCTAAATGGCTTTCCCGGAAGAGCAAAACAAATTCCCCGAATCAAACTCAGCGCACTGGATAGTAAAGGGGCTGCTTGCCAAAAGAAAAAAAAACAAATTCCCGGCGGAGCTCCGTTTTAGCAGCCATGGAAGTGCCAGCCTTCGCCTGGCTTCTGAAGTACATCCGAAAACCGTCGGGAACTCCTGACCCTTGAGCCGCTCCCCCCCCAGCGTTGCCCCCGAATACGACTTACTACCTACCTGACCACCCCAACCCAACCCGAAGATCCGAATTTCGGGTTGTGGGGGGTACGGGTTCCATACCTGTTTTTGTTCCATGTTCCCCACCTACCTTATTGATTCAGGGCCCCGGAACCGTGTGGTGAAGGACCGCGTGGTGACCTCGGAATCCCCGATGACCTCACCGCGCAGGTCCGTCACCGCGCGGTCGTGAGACCTCGGAGGCCCCTGTCGCCCGAGACGTCCTCGGAGAATGACCCGAGTCCCAAAGCCGTGCGGTGACCCCGAAGCCCACGGACCCACCACACCACGCGGAGTGGTCTCCACGCCGTCTGGGGGCCCCCCGAGCTCAAGAACACCCTCCCGGGAGGCCCAAGAACTCCCCAGCAGACCCGCCCCTTCTGCCTTCCCCTGGGCGCGCCGCTGCTGCGAAGCACACAGCAGAGCGGCGGCATGTCGGAGGGGCGCCACTCCCTGGACCTCTCCCGGGGTCCGTTCTGACCAGCATATGGAAGCGAATCCAGCCGTTGCGACGAGGGCCTCTCAGGAGGCCCAGCAGGGCGACAAGGAGGGAGGGGTAGCGGTATCGGTTGCCGGTACGTCTTCTTCCTCTAGTACATCTAACGATGCGGTGGGAAATGTGTATAAGCATGATTTCTTAAAAGTCCGCGCGGACTTCTTGGATCGGCGCTGGGCCACCCTCCCTGGCGCGCAAAGCGCGCCAGGGGCAGCGCTGGAGGCGCCGCCAGGGGGCACCAGCACAAATGGAAGAAATACAGTCGGACCTCAGGGAAAGTATGTCTTACGCCGTGTCTTGCCATTCTCTTGCCATTCGAGGCAAGCCAGGCCTTCTTCTCCTTGACCCCTAAGGCCCCAAGACGCCCCAAGAGGCCTCCGAGAGGCTTCCAAGAGCCCTCCAAGAATCCGCCGAAAGGCATTTCGAATGACCCTCATACGCATCCAAAAGGCCGCTGAAGCAGAGCCCAAGCACGGTGGCGGGATGGGCCGAAGGCCACTACTGGGGGAGAGGAGGGTCAGTCCCCATCTGAACAACGACAGGACCTGGTATCAAAAGCATCTGCGTATGGATCCGAAGAGGGGCAGTCCTGATTTGAACAACGACAGAACGCAGTACCAGTGACATGCACGTAGACACGCGCACTCAGCCACAGAACGAGCACGCAGGCACACAGCGCCGGTCTGCCGCGCAGCGACTCGCCTGCGGCCTCGTCCGGCAGCCTGTCGCCCCCACCCGCTGTCCAGGCAACGTCCGCACTCGGACTGGGGAGCGCCCAGTGCCACGGACGTGCTGGAGAGTCGGGGATGGACAGACCTCCCTTTCTGGAAAATGGCGGCCGCGGCGCCCTCTCGAGAACCGAAAACGGCCCATTCACGAATCGAGACGTGTCAGGGCAGGAGGCCTGTCCACCCCCGAGAGAGAGAAGGCCGCTGTGGGCGCGGCTGCGCGCCGCGGGCCCCCCCGGCCAGTGCCACGGACGCGCTGGAGAGTCGGGGATGGACAGACCTCCCTTTAGCAAAACGTGGTTCAGTGCAAACGACCCCGGGCCCCAAACCTGGCGGGCGCAGGCCTGGAGAATGGCGGCCGCGGCGCCCTCTCGAGAACCGAAAACGGCCCATTCACGAATCGAGACGCGTCAGGGCAGGAGGAGATCATTTTTTTATTCCGGCCGGTAACGCTCGTTACCCGGGGGGGGGGGGGTCGTGCCCCCCGGGTAACGGTAACGTTTGGGATGGGCGGGGTATGGCGAAGCAGGGGCGCTCTGCGATCGCCATAGTATGCGCGCGAGCAGCACTCTCTGCCTGAGAGCACCACAGTGGCTTGCGATTCGAGTACAAGCGCAAAGCCCGCCGCGTGGTCCCGGCACCACGCCCGCGCCCGCGCGCGCGACGACGATGATCGACGAGCGACGAGCGACGAGGTCGACGACGACGACGACGACGTTTGCCGCCTGTTTCGGCCTCCGGAGGCCGTTTTCGGGCGCCGTCGACGACGACGACGACGACGACGACGACGACGACGACGACGACGACGACGACGACGACGACGATTCGAGTACAAGCGCAAAGCCCGCAAGCACCAGCATCGCGCATGCGAGCGCCGCAATGGCCTGCGAGCGCCCACAGTGCGCCTGCGACCACCACACCACAGTGCGCATGCCTTCGGGCACCAGCATGTTGGAGGGGAAGACCGAGACCCCCCCCGCGTACGAGCGTTACCGTTACGGGGGGGGGGGGGGGGGAGAGGCCCGGGTAACGAGCGTTACCCCCCAGAGGATAAAAAACAATCTCGGGGCCTGTCCACCCCCGATCGGGAGCGGCCAAGAGGGGGGTGTCCAAGAGGGGGGGGGTTGCAAATCATGACCGGCGGCATGTGCGCGGCCCAGCGGGGGGGCCAGGGACGTCATGAAATGAGAAGAGGCGCCGTAAAATATGGGGAAATATCATGGCCCCGCCACGATGTCCACCCCCCCCTAGTCATCACCCCCCTCTTTCCCGCCCCCGACCCGAGAGAGAGAGAGGGCCGCTGCGGGCGCGGCTGCGCGCCGCGGGCCCCCCCCCCCCGGCTCCCCGTGGCGCCTCGCGCTGCTGCGCCGCCCCACGGGAGGAGCGGCGTGGGGCGCGCAGAGAGCGAGCGCCGCGGCGCGCGCGAGGGACGGGACGCCGACGGGCGGTGGCGCTCGGCGGTGCGCCACCTCTGCGAAGTGGAGAGGCGCATGCTGGGCACTCCAGATTTCGTCATAAAAGGGAGGGGGTCTCAACCCTCCCAGACGAGAAGTCTCAGACCCCCCCCCCCCCCCCGTGGGAGAACCCTCCAGAGCATCGTCCCCAGACCCCCCAGGCCCTCCAAGATAGCCTGGAAGAGACCCCCCCCCCGAAATGAGACCCCCCTCCCTTTATTACAAAATCTGGAGTACTCGTTGTTGCGCGGCCCTTCGCAGAACTGACGGGCGCGGTGGGCTCCTGGCTGGACGCCTCCTCGCCCGCGACCCTGGATACACTGGCTTCAGACTTTGGAGGGCGGGGGCAAGCTCCCCGAAACGCGACTTCAAATGTGTCTCGTAAAATTCTGGCCCGACCTGGCGGGTTCCGGAAAACCTGACCACCTCTTCTTAGGAGGCCGATCGTTACTTCCAGCGGCTTCCGCTCACAGAGCTGGCCTGGCTTTACGTCCGCAAGCTTCCGCCGGTCCTCCGCCGCCTTCCGCCGGGGAAGCGATGCCAACTCCTTCGATCCTCGGCGACGCGGCCCTGTCTGGAATGCCTCACTTGCAGACAACGGTGCAGCGGCAAGCCAGGCCTTCTTCTCCTTGACCCGCTCGGGCTCCGGGGACGAGGCGGCCGCGCTGGCGGCGTCCGACCCCTTGGCGTCGGTGTCCGCAGCCTGCGGGGCCCGTGGCTGGCGCACGCTCGCGCGCCCCCAGGCGGGGATGATGCGTGAACCCCCGCCTCGGGGCCCCCGCTCTGTGCCTTCTCGGGGTGCCCCCAACGGCAGCCGCTCGCAACCGCCGCCTGCCGCACTGCAGACCGCCTCGCCGCCACCGCCGGCACCGCGCCGGAGGAGCGCGGGCCTCGTCGTCGGAGGCCTGCTGGTTGATGTCCGTCTCGTCATCCTCGGCCTGGCGGAGCGCAGACGGGGCGCGCAGCGGCAGCACCCTCTCCCTCGCGCCCAGCGCCCGAGCCCCGGCGTCGGCGCACTCGGCGGCGCGCCCCAGGGGGGGGGGGGGGGGGGGGGGGCGGGGGGGGCGGGCCTCTCGGAAGGCTCCCGAGGCCCGCGGCCGTCCGAGAAGCTGCGTGGTGCGTAAGGGCCTGGTTTTTTGTTCTGCTGTCTGGGAGAGCGGGGGGAGGAGGAGAAGAGCAGGGATGGAGGAGGAGGGACGGAGGAGGAGGAGGAGGAGGCGGAGGCGGAGGAGGAGGACGGAGGAGGACGGAGGAGGACGGAGAAGGACGGAGGAGGAGGAGGGAGGAGGCCGGAGGAGGACGGAGGAGGAGGAGGAGGAGGAGGAGCAGGGGGAGGAGTAGAAAAAGGAGAAGAGGAGGGAGGAGGGAAGAACATCGCTATCTATTATCAGCACTTCCCTTGCGTGGTGTTTAGCTCTCCGCAGCAGGTCCTCACCGACATGCTCCTTCTTACCTGTCCTGAGCACCCAAGCACTGTGGTGTACACCAGCGCTGCGTTGCACGCGGATGCTGTGGTGCACACAGGCGCCGTGGTGTACACATGCGCTGCGGTGCACGCAAGCATTGTGGTGCACACAGGCGCTGTGTTGCGCACGGTTGCTGCGGTGCGCAAAGGCGCCGTGGTGTACGCATGCGCTGTGGTGCACGCATGCACTGTGGTGCACGCTGGCGCTGTGTTGCACGCGGCTGCTGTGGTGTACATAGGCGGTGTGGTGTCTACAAGCGCCGTGGTGCACGCAGGCACTGTGGTGCACGCTGGCGCTGTGTTGCACGCGGCTGCTGTGTACATAGGCGGTGTGGTGAACACAGGCGCTGCGGCGCACGCAGACACTATGGTGTACACAGGCGCTGTGGTGCAGATCACCACCACCTAAATGCTGCTGATACCACTCCTCAATCAGGCCCCCTCGCCCCCCCCACAGGTTCGGAGATATACTGACCCGGGTCAATCCAAACCCGGGTCAGTCAGAATCCTGCAGGATCCTGCAGGATCGTGCAAGATCCTGCACCCGAGCCAGGGTCAGTGCGCCCCTGGCCCTGCAGGATCCTGCAAGATCTGGCGCTCTGGCTGACCCCCGTTGACATTGACCCCCGTCTCTTGAGCCCCGACAGGTGGCGACCGTCATCGCCGCAGAAGACAAAAACAGGCTCTAAGCCTCCTCCGAAGCCACAGAGGGCTCCTCGGAAGGCCGGAGGGCTTCTGAAAAGCGCCTTCTGAGAAGCTCTGCCCGCCTCTCGCTTGCCCCCATCGGCGCGCCGCCGAGACAGTCGAGTGTCGGCTACACGCAAGAGCGACCCTAGGCAAAAGTGACCTTCAGTGCGCGGCCTGCGGGGGCGCAAGGTGGCCAAATCCAAGCGCGCAAGCAGTCACTACCGCATCGCGCTCAGCGATTGGGGGGGCCCCGGTCAGCCCGCACCACAGGTCACTCCGGTGAAGGGTCACGCTTAGCCTGGGAGTGACCCTCCTCAGCAGCCCCTCCCGCCTTTGCCCATCCTCAGCTCCACATCCCACCCCCTCCACCCTGTGTCCATCCTCCGCCCCCCTGAACTCTTACCTCCCTGAATCTCCTCTCCCCTCCTCCTCCCGCCAGCCCATGGACCCCCTTCCTCACAAAAGCGGAGGCTATAAGGGAGGAGGCCCCTGGGGGTCCTACTCCAAGCCCAAGCTACCCCACCAGCGATTTACCACCCGAGCAGCAGGCCCGCGCGGTGGGGGGGAGGAGCTGCAGCCGAGTGCTCGAGAAGCCCGTACACTGAGGCGCCAGACCGTGCTGCTGCTGGTGGTGGGCTGCTGCTGTCTTGCTGGCGCCTCTTGCCTTTGCTAGGGAGCCCACAAAGGACGTACGCGCCCAGCCACTCAGGAATACGGTCCCCTGGTCCGCGAGACCAGCCTCGCGATACGCACGTTCGCGCAATGCGCACTTTCGAAACCAGCGTGGATTCACGTACGTACACGTCCGTCTTCGCTCCTGCTTCTCTCTCTCTCTCTCTCTCGTCCTCTCGCGTGCTCCCTGTCTCTTGGATCTCCAATGCTCTCTCTCCGTCCCTTCTGCTGTCTGGGGGGGGGGGAGGGGCCCGGCGCGCCCCTCTGGCCGGGCCGGGTTGGCCCAGGATTCCCACGGGGGCGACACCAGACGGCCAAGAAAGCCCACAAAAGGGGCCTCCAGGACGGCACAGCAGGACCCAAAGAGAGCCCCGAACCCTTCAGCTGCCTGGAAACCGGCGGAAGGCACTCCCACAAAGAACATAACAACATAGCCAACACAACCTGCCTCTGTGATGGGCAAAATGGCCTCATGGACGACCCAAGACGAGACAAGGTGGCTTCCAAGACTTACCACGAGGGTCCAAGATGCCTTGAAGTTTTGCCAAGATAATTCCAAGATGGCCTCAAGACTAAAAACAAAAAAACAATCAAACACACAAACTCCACGAGACACCCTACGAGGGCCCGGAAAATCTAACATCAGTTCCTCATGTTGCTTCTATGCTTGTCCCGTTCTCTCACTGCCAGGCTTCCAGCAAGTCAAGACGGCCCCCGAAATTTCCAAGATAGCCGCAAGACAGCCCAAGAAGTCCTCAAGAGGGCCCAAAGACGGACCAAGAGGGTTCCAAGACGGCCAAAGAGGCGCCCAAGACGGCACGAAGAGGGCCCTCAGACGGCCCGACATCCAAGGGGGCCCTAAGGCGCCAAAAGAAGGGCCTGAGAGGCCGGTCTCGCACAGACGCGCGTGCGGATTGCCTCTGCCGCGCTGCGACGTAACAGTTTCCCTCCTCCTCCTCCTCCTCCTCCTCCTCCTCCTCCTCCTCCTCCTCCTCCTCCTACCCAACATGTTCCCCAAAGGGTTTCCACAGCGGCTAAGGGGAACACACAGTCCAATAGCTTGGACAGACGTTGGCCCAATGGTTGGCCACATAGGCGCTTCCAAATCGCAGGGTGCCGCGGTGGATCGCTGATATTACACACCAAACGCACCATCACGTGCTCACACACAATCGAATCGGGCCGAGTACGTATACCGCTTCAGCATAGAAGGGCGGTCTTTGCGAGCGCCGTCCCGCCTTGTCGCCCTCGGACTTCTTGTCGTCGTCATCCTCCTCGGGGCACCGGACAGGCCACTGATAAGCAGGGGGCGGAGGAAGAGGATGGAGGCGAATGTGATGGACTCATGAAGACGGGGGCGAGGAGTGAGGAGGATAACCATCGCGCCGCTTCGGCAGAGCTCGAATTCGCTCACTGCGACCCGAGCGTTTGACCGGGGGAACATCCTTGGACAACTCTCTCCATTGGGGCTGAGGCCGCCAAAACAACGGGGGGGAGGAGGAGGAGGAGGAGGAGGAGGAGGAGGACGGGGAGGAGGAAAGAAAAGGGAAGAGAAGGAGGAGGAGGAGGAGGAGAACTATCGCACGGCTTCGGAAGTGTTCAACTTCGCCTAAGACGACTAGAACGCTTGACTGGGGGAGCCTCCTTGGGCCACCCCCTCGATTGAGATTGGGCTACCGCAAACCACTGGCCTCTTCTGTGAGGACTTGGGGTGCCTGCCCGAAATAAATAGAGACTGGGCAACACGGACAACTGTCATGAACCCCTTTTGATGATACACCGCGCGTTCTAGTCACAAACGCTACAGGCTAGGATAAGACTGTCATCCAGCCGGTCGACACCATGCAACGTGTGACCGCTGGGCTGCATGGCAAGCTCTGCCAGGGCGGCGGCATGGCCTGGACACTTCTCCCCGGCTCGGTCAGTGGGAATCTCGTTACTGGCGCAGCTCGAAACGAAAGAAAAAACGCCGTCAACATGAACTGCTGGAGCTCCGCGCGGCTCTCTTGGATTTGCGCTCGACCCCTTTCCTGGCGCGCGAACCGCCAGGGGCTGCGCCGGAGGCGCCGCCAGGGAGTCCCAGCGCGGATCCAAGAAATCCGCACGGAGCGCCAAACAATTATGTTCATGGCGTACTTTTCTTCTTCGAATCTCGAGTGGGAGAGCGGGCAGAGCCGGCGGCTCGGGCTGCCACGCCACCTCGTGCCCGACACGGGCACGGCGGGGGAGGGGGCGGGGCGGGCGCCTTCCGGGAGGCGGGGAGGAGGGCCACCACAGCCCCAGAGAACCCGAGGGCCCGCCATCAGAACTGGCTCCACCCCGCCACGTCTCCGAGATCGGCGCTACACCGGCTTCCTTCTCCTCCTCCTCCTCCTCCTCCTCCTCCTCCTCCTCCTCCTCCTCCTCTCTTCCCTTTTCTTTCCTCCTCCCCATCCTCCTCCTCCTCCTCCTCCTCCTCCTCCTCCTCCTCCTTCCTCCTCCTCCTCCTCCTCCTCCTCCTCCTCCTCCTCCTCCTCCTCCTCCTCCTCCTCCTCCTCCTCCCTCCTCCCTCCTCCTCTTTCATCGTCCTCCTCCTCCTCCCGCCACCAGAACTGGCTCCACCTCGCGATGATTCCGAGATCAGCGCTGCAACGGCCTTGGGATTAAAACTCTTTTTCTCTCAGGTGCCTCGAGGCCTTTGCCGCCGACAAGGTCCGCGCACGCGGAACGTAAGCTCGAAAACGTTTCGGGCGTTTGCTCAGCTCGAAGCTTGGCGTGGAGCATATCGGCGGGAGTCTGACGGGAGCCTAATCAGCAATCCCATTCGAAACATCGTTGCCACTGGCGTGCCACTGGCCCTCGCGAAGAGGTTCCGAATCCGAAATATGCTGGCGTGCTCTGACCTTGGCGACTTGCGAAACCTCCATCTCTGGATGCTTTTCCACGCCCAGCCATCGCTCCAATCGCGTCGAAAAAATCCCAGCTATTGGGAGGCTTGCCAGAAGAGTGGAAGCGCACAAGTGCCTGGAAATCCGACTGTATTCTGGTGATGTCTAGAAACTGACTGACGGCGAGGTGGGCCAAGAACTCGGCGGCCGGGGACGAAAGAGGAAGGCCTTGCCCCACAAAAAATTGCTACCGTCGAGCCGTCTGGCCCCAACTTGACCAACGCCCAGCCAAGAGCAGTAGACCAGGGGTGACCGCTGTTGGCTACACTCCCATCAATGCAAACCTCACCAACAAAAACCTGGTCAGCAGAAAGACCCTCAAGGGACCTGAACTCGGCCTGCTCGAGGCCCAACCCACGGGGGCCTCGGGACACGGTAAGGCGGAGGCTCGGGAAAAACAGCACACTCGGTCCAAGGCTCAGGTTTGCAGAAGGCCTTAAGACCCCTTTCGACTGAAAACTCACTTCGAAGGTTCGCTGTGCAGCTACATTGCATTAGACGGTGCTTGACGTCGTCCACTGGTGCTCCACAGATGCACTTGGTGTCCGTCTCATACCCTGCTTTCAAGAGTCTCTCCTTGGTCCAGATCGATTGGGCGAGGTAGGCGAGCAGAATGCTACGTTCCAGCTGGGAGGTCTTGCTGCAACAAGGCCTGTTTGGCATGCGAGATGCCGAGCTGTCCTGCCACGAGCTGACCATCACGTTTCTCAACAGGGCGGGCGACGAGGTCGTCAACGGATACTTCTCCCCGTCGAAGCTGGTAAACTCAAAAGGCGCACTCCATGACCATCCGATGCGTGCCAGACTGGGCTACACAGCTCCCAAGAGGACCCCATGTGTGGCCCCAGTCTGGTGGAGGTTTGGAACAAAAAACGTGAACAGCTAACTGCCAGGTGGAGGAGAGGGAAGGAGTAGGGGGAGGAAGGAGAACGAGGAGGGAGAGAAAGGAGTAACAAGAGGGAGCGGGAAGGCGCGGCTGTGTCGAAGGAGGGGTAGGAGGAGGATAGGGAGGAGGCGGAAGGGCAGGAGGAGGAGGAGGGAGGAGGAGGGAAGGTGGAGGAGGAGGGGGAGGAGGAGGAGGAGGAGGAGGAAGAGGACGGAAGGGGAAAGAGGAGGAGAAGGAGGATTAGGAGAAGAGAAGGGAGGAGGAGGGGAGGATGAGGAGGAGGAGGAGGAGGAGGAGGAGGAAGGAGGGGTAGGAAGGGAAGGAGAAGGAGAGGGGAGGATGCAAGGAAGAAGAGCAGGAGGAGGAAGACGGAGGGGAGGAGAGGAGACGGAGAGGAGAAGGAGGAGGAGGAAAAAGGAAGGAAGAGGAAATGGAGGCGGAAGGAGGAGGAGGAGGAGGGAGGAGGGAGGAGGAGGAGGAGGGAGGGAGGAGGAGGGGGAGAGGGATAATAAGGGGGTTGCACGAGGATGAGAAGGAGAGGAGGAGGAGGAGAAGGGGGGGAGAGGAGGAGGAGGAGGTGAAGGAGGAGGAGGAGGGAGGAGGAGGAGGAGGAGGAGGGGAGGAGGAGGAGGAGGAGGAGGGGGGAAGGAGGAGGAGGAGGAGGAGGAGGATGAGGAGGAGAGGAGGAGGGGGAGGAGGAGGTGGGAGGAGGAGGAGTGAGGAGAGGAGAGGAGGGGGGAGGTGGAGGAGGGTGGAAGGGGAAGCGGAGGGAGGAGGAGGAGGCGGAGGAGGAGGAGCAGGAGAGGAGGAGGAGGTGGAGGACACGGCGGAAGGGGCGAGGAGGAGGAGGAGGCGGAGGAGGAGGAGGAGGAGGAGGAGGAGGAGGAGGGGGTGGAGGGGGAGGAGAGGAGGAGGAGGCGAGGAGGAGCAGGAGGAGCAGGAGGAGCAGGAGGAGCAGGAGCAGGAGGAGGGGGAGGAGGAAGAGGAGGAGGAGGAGGAGGAGGAAATGATGAGATGAGATGAGACACCAGCAGGAGGCCAGAGTTCTGTCATATAGCCAGGATTAAAGTTGGCAGTGCTGTCGCCGCCCCTTTCGGGCGCGGCGCGTCCCCCGCGGACCCGCCCTCAGGGTGAGGGCGTTTCCGCTGGACGCTCAAATCCAATCAAGCGATCTATCAGCCTGGACGGATGAAATGGAGAGGGAGCGGGAGAGGGCGAGGGACAGACGAGAAAAGAACAAGCACGCACACAACACAAACAAAACACACGCACACACGCGCACGCCACGCAGCCGAGGGGACAGAAGGACACAGAGACAAGAAGAGAAATCGAGAAGTCTACTGCATGGCGGCTTGCACCGCCTAGAATGCACCAGCCACGTTGCGCACTCCCTTGCCGCGCGGGGGCTTGCCATCATACACAGAGCCACCATCTACTGACTCAAAGTATTCAATCATCACCGCCTTGAGCTGCTGCCCCTTCGGACCGAAGCACATCTCAATGTTGGTGCCCTTCTCAGACTCGTAGCACTCCCGGCAGTTGCACGTCGTGATGACGTCACGGAATGATTTCGGCTCAGTCAGCGCGGCCGCCGTCTCCATCAAGAGCTTGCGAGAAGCATCTTCAGGGTGCAACTTCGCCATTTGCAAGATCAACCCTTTGGCGGCGTGCTGGTCCGGGGTGCCGAGATTATGGCCTCGCTTCCCATGGGTATCCTTCTCATATTTCTGGGTGTACGCACGCATGGTTTTGACGAGGTCATGATCATTGTCCTTCAGATTGAATGCTGTGTGCAAGTCGCCCGTGAGCATCCGGAGATCACTGAATGACTCCAGCTTGGCCGTCTCAATTGCCAACTTGGCTGTGGCCTGGAGCAAGGGCATCGCAGCATCACCTCCAGAACCCGAAGCAGGAGAATATGTATTCCGCTTCTTCCCGCCGAAGGTCTTGAGAATATCATCGTGAGCCTCCGTAGCCATCTCCCGAAGCTAGAAGCCGATGAGGGGGGGACGAACAGCAGTGGCAGCAAGACCAGCCGGAAAATGAGCAAACAATACATGTGCACGTACAGTGTCGAAACCTCGAGCCTCGAAAGGAACATCACAAATCGGGCATTCTGAAATATCCAATGGTTCAAGATCATCTCGATCTGCTGATCCCCTCCCAGAACACCGGCCTGTACATATACTGTGTACAATGTGACGACGACATGTGACGATAGATGCAAATGTGTGTAGACATACCCAACACCTGTTAGTGAAAGACGTGAAAGACAATAGTCTCCCCACGCATTGTTCCCCATGAGACCCACCTCTGGTGTGTACCATGTGTGCCTTAAGCTTGGCGTACGAGTCGAAACGGGCTGGGCACGGCAATCCACCCTCCAAGGTACAAGTGCACGCATACGGAAGCTCCAGCTGTGGCAGGGTAGCCGGAGGATCAGGATACCACGCGGAATGTCCGGGAGGCAGAACACGGACACACACACAGCAGCAGCGCGCACGGAGGAGAGGTCGACATTGATGAACGCTTCACGGATATCAGGGACAGCAAACAAACGTTGAAGCCGGTCCCCGACCATCTCGGGGATGAATGCCGTGTCGTCATTCTGGGACAGTAACCCCAAGTCTGCCAGGAGTCCCCGGGCCCAAGGATTTGCATGCACAGAGAGAGTGCCACTGATGTTATTCATGGCATTCCGCTCAAAATCAAGATTACCCAGAACAACGCAGAGAAGCACGCGACAGTGTTCAGGATGTCGCGCGATCTGTTGCCATAGCCGGAGTCGCTGCACTGCAAAATGTTGTGCGAGTACCACACCAACCAAACATACGGTGTACTTCACGATTGTGTAAAGAACGGTGTTTCGTGCCTCCCCCGTAAAGTTCAGTTTTGCGGCACCCGGCTCCCTGCAAGAGAACGCGAAAATGTCGTGTGATAAGGGCGTCAAACTCCCGATAGTCGCCCATGGGCGGCATGGCTGCACTTTGGCATGAAAGCAGTTTAGAAACAACACCCCCAATATACACAATCTTCGAGAAGCGTGTTGGAGCTTTACCCCCAAATCCGGACAACATCCCAAATCTCGCCCGTGGATTATGCAGTGCTTTGTGTTTTGCGATGTGGTTCCCGAGATTGACGTCGTACATCTACCCCAAATACCGTGCACAGTAATGAACGTGCAGATTATGGTGCTTGTTGAAGTGCAACGTGTACATGGCCTCCCGGTCAGCACCCTTCCCAAAAAAACTTGAAGACGGTTTCTCCCTTGTCTTGGTTTTGCGAATAACCTGCAAGGCGGACGTGACGATCAAGAGATTCATCAAGCCAAAGCTGACGACGACGGAACGCTTGCAGAGAATGCGTGCCCATTTGTTTCCGAAAGATGTCGCCGGCGTATTTGGAAAACCCCACCTCCGGAACCCGAGTACGACACCAAGGGATGGTACCTGAGATAGCGTGCTGCGCAGTGCTACGAAGCCAAGTCTCGACACATGGGTTGAAGGACTCCAGGAACAACTCAGAGGAATATACACCACCAGGAGGAACACCGAATTCAAGACTGAAAAACTGCGCCTCTTTTTCGTCCCCGTAGTTGTCATCTGACAGCACAATCGACGATATATGCACGGACAACAGCTCGCCCTCCTTGGATGGGCCCAGCGACGTAATGATGTTACGTAACTGAACACGCGGAGGAGAAAAGAAGGCATTCCGCATGTCCCACAAACCGGTGAAGTGCGAGACCTTCGCATGATGGAGCCGCCATCCAAAGCACAATTGCTGCATGATCGCCGAGGAGGAGGAGGAGGATGGGGAGGATGAGGAGGAGGAGCAGGAGGAGGAGGAGGAGGAGGAGGAGGAGGAGGAGAGAGGGGGGGGAGGAGGAGGAGAGGAGGAGGAGGAGGAGGAAGCAGGAGGAGGAGGAGGAGGAGGACGACGAGGAGGAGGAGGAGGAGGGAGGAGGGAGGAGGGAGGAGGGAGGAGGGAGGAGGAGGAGGAGGAGGAGGAGGAGGCGTGAGAAAGAGGAGGAGCAGGGAGAGGGAGGCGATATGAGAAGGCGGATTAGGATGAGGAGGAGGAGGAGGAAGAGGAGGGGGCAGAGAGTCGCGGCGGTGCGACTGCGTCGGACGATGGTAGGGTGAGGAGAGGGGATTCAGAGATTCAGATCTATCGCGAAGCGAAAGAATCAAAACAAAAAACCCACACTGCCAGGGCATATGCAGTGTTATGGGAGAGACCTAGTGCACCTCGGCCGCTCTAAACCTCAAACGGCCAAGGAGGGGAGGGGGCGCTCAGAGGTGCACGTACACGTCCAACGCCTCCAGGACCGCCCCCCCCCCAAGGGAGGGGGCCCCCCTGCCACCCGCCAGGCACTCCAGGCACTGGTCGGGGACACAGGACACCCCTCGCCACCAGGCGGGGCACCTGGTGCGAGTCTCGGGGCGGGTGCCCTGGCCTGCTCCCCCCAGTCCCCTTGCCCAAGGGGGACAGAGCAGGACTCCCCATGAGCCTGGCCGAAGCCAGACCCCCCCCACACCCTGGCGCGACCGGGGAGTCGCCGGGCCAAGACAGTGGGGGGGACCCGATTCGGCCGTAGCCGAATCGGGATTACCGTTTAGGCCCGAAGACCGGGGTCGGTGCCCCCACTGCCGAAACCACCCACCCCCCCACGGCAATGCCGTGGGTGGGTGGGTGGTTTCGGCAGTGGCGCAGCCCCCATACAGGCCACGACTAAGCGGGTTTCAGTTCCCCCGGACGCCGGGAGGTGCCGCCCACACCAACCGGCTGCCCGCCCGGGGGCGT